GGATGACTGAGGCCGTGGGCGAGATGGGTGGGAACAGGCGGGCGGGCAAGGTTAGGGGTTGGGGGGGAACTGCTGAGAAACAAGGGAGGACAGATAAGGGGTAGAGGATTAACAAGGAGGTAGGTCGGGTTTTTTTTTTTTTTTTTTTTTCAATCAATCAATCCATCGATCAATCAAAGATTCAATCCATCGATCAATCAATCAATCAATCCATCAATCGATCAATCGATCAATCAGCTAATCAGGCAATCAGGCAATCAATCAAAGATTCAAAATCGATCAATCACTCAAAATCAATCAATCAATCAGGCACCATAGATACCATGATACGACAAAGTAGAACAAATGATCTTTAAGGGGAAAGGGCAAGGATGAAGTCGGGGGGAAGGGGTTAGCGGGGTGGCGGGGTGGCGGGGTGAAATCACGGACCCTCCGCGACCCTCCTCGACCCTCGCCCGACCCTGGGGGGAAGGGGTTAGCGGGGTGGGCGGGTGAAATCACGGACCCTCCGCGACCCTCCCCGACCATCGCCCGACCCTGGTCCATTTTTTTTTCATTTTTCAAATTGATCAATCAGTCAATCAAATTAATTATTTGATTTAATAATTGATTGATTGATTCATTGATCAAGACCGATTGATTGATTGATTGATTGATTGATTGATTGATTGATTAATCGTTAGATCATTAGATCGATTGATTGATTGACTGACTGATCGTTAGATCGTTAGATTGGTTGATTGATTGATTTGACCGCCCCCCCCCCGGTCGTTCCTCCCCCCAATTCCCCTCCAACGGCGCCTTGAAAGAAAAAACAAACAAAAAAATATCCCCAACATACTTTTTTTCTTCTTCTTCTTCTCTTTGCTGTGGGTGGTTTGCTACGGTGGACGCGGGAGTGTGGTTGCCCCTTGATGAGTCCTGGTGCGCAGCCAGGCGAAACGCATCGGGGAATCTGCGCGTGAAGCTGTCAGTCCGTGTAGGAGCTTCAATGTTCATCGTTGAGACATGGACACATAGCCATTGGCCTCGCTGTTTCATTTCATTTCATTTCATTTCTTCTTGTGCGTTTTTTGGATGTTATGCTAGTGATGGTTCTGTAATGATCTAATGATCTAACGATCCTTTAGATTGATCGTTTTTTGCTGTCGACGATCGAATGATCTTTGTACGCGCATGAGCACATAGCGTTGGCCTCGCAATCTCCTCCTTTCTCCTTACTATCTTATTTCATAAATAATCAATATACAAAAAATAAAGATTCTTCTAGTTTTACTAGAAGAATCTTTATTTTTTGTATATTGATTTATATAAATTTTATTCATATCTTCTTCTTTTCCGTCCCCATATTCTTTCCCCCCCACTCCTTCGCCCACCTAATCCACCGCCCCCCTTTTCTCCGCCCTCCCTCCCGCGTCCCTAACCTTTCCAGCCCGCCTTTTCCCCACCCCGTCCCTAGGCTCCCTCACCGCGGCCTACGGCCTCACTGAGCCTACCCTTTGCCCACGGCTCCAACCACCCTACCCCCCCCTTTCTCCCTGTCTCCCCTTCGTCCCTTCCCCCTCCCACGCCACCTTTAATTAAAAATAAAAAAAAACTCCCTGACCCTCCGCGCCCCCCGCCACCCTCGCCCTACCCTGGTCCTTTTTTCCATTTTTCAAATCAATCAATCAACCAATCTAACGATCCTTTAGATCGATAGATCGATTGACTGGTTGATTGATTTGACCACCCCCTCGTTGATTGATTGATGGATGGATAAAGAAAAAGGAAGGAAAACCCCCTCCTCGCATGTGATCCTCCCTCCCTTGCACGTCGTCCATCCTGTTGCCGCTCCTCCTCCCTCCGTCGATTCTTTTCCTTCCCTTGATCGTCCTCCCTCCCTCGCTCCTCTGTCTCCCCGCACCTCCTCCTCGTCCAACCCACCTCCTATACGTTCTCCTGCTCATCCACTTCTTCTTCTTCTGCCTCCTCCTCCTTTCTCCTCCTCCTCCAACCCAGCTCCTAGTCCTCCTCCTCCTCACCCTCGACTTCTTCTTCTTTTTCTTCTTCTTCTTCTTCTTCTTCTTCACACACGCACGCGCGCACACACACACACACACACACACACACACACACACATACACACACACACACACA